CGCACCTGCAGTATTCCAGGCTCTGGTCAACGATGTTCTAAGGGACTTTATTAACCGATTTGTGTTTGTCTACCTAGATGACATTCTGATCTTCTCTTCCTCCCAGGCTGAACACGAGACCCAGGTCCGGCTGGTACTGCAACGCCTTCTGGAGAACCGGCTGTTCGTCAAAAGCGAGAAATGTGAGTTTCATGTGCCCTCGGTTGCCTTCCTAGGGTACATAATCGAGCGTGGAGATCTCCGACCCGACCCTGTGAAAGTCAAGGATTGTTGTGAACTGGCCCGAACCAAACAACCGTCGCCAGTTGCAACGCTTCCTTGGCTTCGCTAACTTCTACAGGAGATTCATACGGGACTTCAGTAGGATTGCCTTACCATTAACCCAGTTAACCTCTCCCAAGCTTGCTTTTCAGTGGAGTGACGCTGCCCAATCAGCCTTTCAGGAGCTCAAGAAACGGTTTGCTTCAGCGCCCATCCTGGTCCAACCTGACACCACTCTTCAGTTCGTGGTAGAGGTCGACGCATCCGACTCAGGGGTGGGGGCCGTCCTTTCCCAACAGAGGGAGGGTAAGATGCATCCTTGTGCCTATTTTTCCCGTCGTCTTACCCCTGCAGAACGTAACTACGACGTGGGCGATCGGGAGCTCTTGGCGATTAAGCTCGCCCTGGAAGAATGGCGGCATTGGCTGGAGGGCACCACTCAACCCTTCGTGGTCTGGACCGATCACAAAAACCTGGCCTACCTTCAAATGGCGAAACGTCTCAACGCTCGACAGGCCAGATGGGCCCTGTTTTTCACCCGTTTCCACTTTTCAATCACCTACAGACCCGGTTCCCGAAACGTCAAGCCGGACGCTCTCTCCCGTCAGTTCTCCGCTGCTGACGAAAGGGCGGATCCGGATTCTATTCTGCCGGCGACCTGTACTATCGGGGCCATCACCTGGGAGATCGAGGCGGCTGTCCGGGCGGCTCAGGTAGCCGAACCGGATCCGGGAGGGGGGCCCGCCCACCGACTCTATGTTCCGCGCTCTGTCAGATCCCAGGTTCTGCAATGGGCTCACACGGCCCGGTTCTCATGCCACCCAGGGATACATCGCACCATCAAGTTTCTCCAGCGGTACTTCTGGTGGCCCTCACTCACCCAAGATACTCGGGAATACATCACTGCTTGTACGGTTTGTGCCCGAAACAAACCATCAAACCAACCCCCGGCGGGTCAGCTTCATCCATTATCCACTCCTTCCAGGCCATGGTCTCACATAGCACTGGACTTCATCACCGGGCTACCTCCATCAGCAGGTAACACTGTCGTTCTCACCATAATCGATCGTTTCTCTAAAGCGGCTCATTTCATTGCTCTGCCTAAGCTTCCCACAGCTTTAGAGACCGCACGCCTACTCGCCACTCACGTCTTCCGCCTGCATGGGATGCCGGAAGACATAGTGTCTGACAGAGGGCCTCAATTCACTTCTCGGGTCTGGAAAGAGTTCTGCAACTCCCTGGGCGCAAAGGTCAGTCTATCCTCGGGTTATCATCCTCAGAGCAACGGCCAGTCCGAGCGGGCCAACCAAGAACTGGAGACCGCCCTGCGCTGTGTCGCCTCCACCAATCAAACCATCTGGAGTGAGGAGTTGCCGTGGATCGAGTACGCCCATAACAGCTTGACTGCCTCTGCCACCGGCCGGTCTCCATTTGAAGCTTCCTTGGGATATCAGCCTCCTCTTTTTCCTGCTGTGGAAGGTGAGCACTCTGTACCCTCCGTCCAGGCTCATCTGCGCAGGTGCCGCAGAGTTTGGCGGGCAACTCAAGCGGCCCTACTACGCACGAAGGAGAACAACAAAAGCATCACAGACCGGCACCGGACTCCAGCACCCGAATACTCTGTCGGCCAGAAGGTATGGCTCTCTACCCGCTTTGTTCCGGTCAGGACTGAATCCAAGAAACTTACACCCACCTTCATTGGCCCTTTTGAAATCTCCGCCTTGGTCAACCCTGTCTCTGTGAAGTTAAAACTCCCTCGCAATATGAGGATCCATGATGTTTTCCATGTTTCACAACTCAAACCTGTCCGGTCCAGTCCTCTGTGCCCTCCTTCCAGGCCCCCTCCTCCCGCCCGGCTCGTGGATGGGTTGCCGGCTTACTCCATCACTCGCATAATGGACTCTCGGCGCCGGGGGCGTGGCTGTCAGTACCTGGTTGACTGGGAGGGCTATGGCGTGGAGGAGCGCTCCTGGGTCCCTCGGGCGGCCGTTCTGGACGTCCCCATGCTCCGGAAATTTCACCGCCTGCATCCGGACAAGCCTGGTGGGTCGCCGGGAGGCTCCCATTGAGGGGGGGGTGTTTTGTTTTTGTTTACTTTTCTCTCTCGCCCTCTTCCATTCTCTCTTTCTCCTGCTGGGGCGGAGCTCAGTATGGGCTCCTGCCCCTGGCCTACGCACCTGGAGGTGATCAGCACATCTGTCGCTGATCATGAGAGATTGGAACCCTTCTTAAGAGGGTGAGTCTGCTCTACTTGTCGCTGGATCGTTGAGCCATCAGCGTCAGTCGTCCTGTATTTTGTAAAGTCAGTTGGTGAGCCTGTCTGAACCAGGAAACTAATGGTTTTTTTCTGCCTGTGTATAGATTGCCTCTGGACCTGTTCTTTCCCTGTGCATGGCGACTGAACGGAAGCAAGAGAGATAGAGGAAAGGAGAGGAGATGTGCGAGGGCTGAATGGAAACCTTCCCTTCCTGGACTCCTGCCTCTTTCACTCCTGGACCCTGGAACCCTGGCCCCTTTTCCCTTGACACCATTATGTGTATATATGAATTCCACTGTAGAGGAACACTGTAAATAAATGCCCCTTTTGAAGACACTAGTGGTCCGCGCGTGAGTCCGATCTACGAAACCTGACAGGTGCTCTCTGATGTATATGGGGGAAACGGGTTAGACTAATGTAGACAGGTTAAAATAACATATATACAGCATTGGGTAAGACAGATTGAATAACTCCCTTGGTCCGACATTTTCAAACACATCCACTGAATCTTATGGGCATCCTGGAACTACAACCCTGGGCAGCGTGGACGGAGGGACAGAGGAGGAGGCATAAGGACCTGTGAATCAAGAAATTGAACATCAGAACTCCTTGGGCTAAACTTTAGATGATATTAGTGTAATGTAGATTTGCTATCTCTCGCTTTTGATGTGAGAATAAAGTTATTTATACTGCAGGAGTGTTGATAGGAGTGTTTGAGTTACTTAGTTTATTTAGTTTCACTTTATGGAAGTCTCTGTGGGTCATCTTATGTAAATAGTCTTGTAGTGATCTGTTGAACTTGGTCTCATTTTCCCACAAAAAAAAAAAAAATTAAACTTACCTTGTATACTTACCTTGACCGTAATATTCCCTTCAATGAGAGGGATCTTGGTGTAGAAGGTGTGAGCTCCAATTGGAGTCTGATTTGCTTTTTTTTCTTCTTTGCTTGTGGGAAAATAGTTGTTTAAAACAAAAATTAGTTCATTGTAAATAACCTCTGGATCACTAATGAATACATTTGAAATAGAAAATACTATATCAGTGTATATATAAATATGTCTATTTCCTTAAAAATACAATGCAATAAAGCAAATAAAAAGACCCGCCAGAGGACCAGTGGAGAACAAAGGTTTAAGGTACAGGGGATACAGGAGTACATGAGTGGAGAACTATGGACCTCTATATGCCAGTGGACCTGAATCACATTAATGAAATAACAAAAACTCAGATTCCTAATACCTAACCCTAACCCTAACCCCCTAACCCTAACCCTTTAGCGACCAGACTCAATCCCACATCCTAACCCTATAAAACTTAAAAACATGAATAAGAAAGTCACGAAAAAGACACAAAGAAAGATAAGACAAACAAAGAAGAAATGAGTGACACAAACAAGGAAAATCACGACAAAATGGAAAGGATATAAAGGAAGGAGGTGCTATAAAAGAGAACATAAAGAACATAGGAGGGATGTCTACAAAGCAGGGTGTGCCATATAAAGAAAAACAAAGATAATAAAATTAAAAAACGAAGAAAAAGACATGAAAGTCACGAAAAAACAAAGAAATAGAAAAAGTTAAAAGAAATGGGAAATTGAACAAAAAGGGAAGAGAGAGAAAAGCCCAGAGTGGCAAAGAAAGATAGAAAAGTTAAAGAAAATCAGAAGAAGAAATGAAAACTGAAAAAAAAAAGGGTAATTTTTTGAACAGGGGGCACCGACCCCAATCCCATTGATGGACCGTTCACCTCAGGTTCCGGAAGGAAGGACAAGGAAGTCACGAAAAGAAAAACAGAAAGAAAAGCAAGTAAGAATTTTTAAGAAATACAAGTTGGAAACCCAAGAGTGGGAGGAGCAAAGAAAGAGCATAAAAGCCAAGACACACAGACAAGACAGAAGTCAAAGAGAGACAAGACAACACACGTTGGGCAAGCCTGAAGAAGGCAAAGAAATACTGAAACAGTCATCATGAACGATGTAAACGATGATGTAAAATGTGCATACACCCAAGATGGGTAATTTTTTGAAACAGGGCAGGGCTATCACCACCGGGCTCCAGCGATGGCCCGTGCGCACGCCAGGCTGCCGGCTTGCTGGCGACCTGTTTATTTACACAAACTTCTATTAGCTACAATTCATTGGTTCCTTGTTACGCTTTTTCGGACACCAAACTTGGCAGGCACAAGGCTGCTGCTACCAACAAGACTTACATAGAATTTTGGGGTGTTTTTTTTTTTTTATTGGGTAATTTGTTTATGTTGGACAAACATTTGGAAATGCATTAATCCACCAACTACATATATATATATTTCTTCAAGTCTGTACATTAAAAGTAAATACAAAAAAAAAAAAAAGGAGAAATAAAACCTGTTTCAAGCTTAAAAATGAGTGTGAGTATGCTTGTACCATCACACTCATTTGTTACTGGCTGCTGGTTCTCCACAAAAAAAACAAAATAACCCCCCCCAAAAAAAGGCATCTCGTCCGATTGTAAAATAGTTTCAATTTTTGCAGCTCATGCATCAGGGGACGTTCAGTCAGAGTCGCACTCAAGCTGTTCTCTGTGTTTCATCTCCAAAAACTTTGCCATGTGCGCCAGTCGTGATGAACCTCGGTATATCCACTCCTTATGTTCACTCTCCTGAAAGATAACCTGCATTAAGCTGCAGTCAATAATCTGCACTTCACACTTTTGCAGGACTCTGTTCAATTCAGCATTAAGGGTCTGTCCAAGCCTGTACTGGGTTAACTGAGGGTACGGCCACTTATTCAGGTAATGTTCTATGAAGTCTTTGTGAGGGCCCTCTGGAATGTCATCTGCAATGTTTTCCAAAGGTTTCCAAACCAAATGAATTAAAGGTAACCCAACATAGACCGGCGTGTGATCATCCAAAAAGATCAAGAACCTTAGGCGGTTCTTTCTGCTGCGGAGCTCGCCTACGACACCAGGCTGGAACCGGTACTTGTTATCTTGACACTGAATCACCACACGGGCACCAACATACAGCTGCTCCACCTTTGCTGTGGTGTCAAAAGCAACGTGGTGTCCAGATACTAGACTCTTCCCTTTTTCTTCAAAACTGACTTTGTATTTTAACCGTCCGTCTTCCCTTGTAACTATCTCGACTATTTTCCCCTGTTGCCACCTCATAGGTCTTCTCCTAGCCAGAACTACCATGTTCAATTTGAGTTCATCCTTCTGTGCCTCAGGTCGGGCAGTTATTATTTCCTTGGAGGAATGGCCAAACACTGATGATATTATAACAGGAGCCACATCTGCCGCATTGGTGCTGGTGCTCGGAGGTGAAGTGGGTGGTGGTGTTCTGTCGCTCTCACTGCATTTGTTAATTCTTGCAGGTTTCTTATATTCAGGAAGTCTAGTCAACACTACCACTGGCTTTTTAAATGGTCTGGGACAGTCCAAGCCGTTTTGGCATAGTTTCCTCTTTCTGGCAGTTTCATTTACACAGCAAACTGAGTCATTTGGAGACTCAAAAATATGTTTTTCATCCTCACATTCATAATCCAACAGGTTTTCTTCTGTCTTCAAGGACTCCTCACATTCATAATCCAACAGGTTTTCTTCTGTCTTCAAGGACTCCTGAAGTAACAATGTTTTTGTCTCCAACTGATCCACAGTCATAATCATAGCCATGGCCACTGTTGTTGTATCCCGAATATCCACCTCAAAAATCACAAAGGTCTGGTCCTTTTTGTGAGCAGAAGCAATTAAAAGCTAAAAATCGGTCGCTCGAGCTAGCTAACTTCCTTTAGCACTGACAGGCTACGTACAAAAGGAAACAAAGAAACATACCGTTAAACTTCCTTTCAGATTTTGCATCGCAAAAGTATTTAAATTACACAAAACAACTCGCACTACGATTCTTTTTTGCTACTTAGACGTGTACGAAAATAGGAACCATTCCAAAATTTGCTTTCATACTTTGTGGCAACTAGGCCCCAAAACAAGTAGGTTGCCCGCGAGAATGACGCAGAATTGGGGTGTATTTCTTTTGACTTTGCAATATTAATATTGAGGTGACTGCTATTGTGACTTGGCAGTAAATATATAAAGATGAATTTAATTGAATTAATTTAAACAGAACTTGTCCCAGTACAGAACCCTGCAGAACTCCACAATTAACTTTGATGGGTGAAAAGCGCTTCTCATTTACATGAACAAACTGACTTCTATTAGATATGATTTAAACCACTGAAGCACAGCACCTTTAATACCTGTGGCATGCTCTAATCCCTGCAATAGATTATGGTTGTAAATGTCACGGGGTGAAACGGGACAAGTTATTTAGAGTTTTTATTGTGCATGTTTTGCAATGTTTTATCTGTTTTAATATTTTAATATTGTATATTGGGTTTGTTTGTATGAGCTTTATTGCATGTTTTTATCTTATTTAAATTGAACACCTGTCCTGTAAAGACTCCGCCCCTACCTGATAGTAAACTGATCACACCTGCGAGAGATCCCAGAGAGGCCAATAAGAGGGCCTGGCAGACCATAGAGCAACTGGGGGGAGAAAAAGCTTGAGAGAAGGCTTGAGAGGAAGCTGGAGAGAAGGCTGGAGAGAAGGCTGGAGAGAAGGCTGGAGAGAAGGCTTGAGAGACATGGCATGAGAGAAGGCTTGAGAGACATGGCATGAGAGAAGGCTTGAGAGACATGGCATGAGAGACATGGCATGAGAGACATGGCATGGTAACCGGTGTGGGCGACGGCCGCGCAGAGCGGCACAGAGGCCCGGCTATAGGCAGCTGGCCAAGGCGTGCGGAAAAGGAGAACGAGACCGGAGATCGCGGACGACCGCGCACTGGAGGGAGTGATCGGAGCTGAGCGGAGAGGTCTGTGTTGGCGTTGAC